TCCTCATCGGATCTCTCGTAATTCCGATGCCTGGCTCTCCTGGCCTTGTTACTCTTGTCCTTCGAGTCCTGGCTGCTTCTTCGCTGCCTAAAAGGGTCTTAGATGTCTCATTGCCCTCTACATCGCTGTTGTCGATGTGTTTCCGTTCTGAAGTAAGTGCGCTCACTGGATACTTATCCACGCTCTCACTGATACTGACTATATGCACTCTGTAATTCTTGTACTGGCTTGCAAATTCCTCGATGCTCGCCGTTAGCTCTCTATATCGACTTGGTGAATCCTCAAACCAAATCGCCTGTCCTCTATCGAGTGAATCCTCAAACTCGGTAGCCTGAAATCGATAGAGCGAATCCTCAAGCTCAATCGCCTGTACTCGGTGAGTTGAATCCTCAAACTCGACCTTCTGTACTCGATTGGACGAATCCTCGAATCCAATCGCCTGTTCATCCTGAACTAGACTGTCTGAATCCTCAAGAACAATCGCCTGAGCGTTTCCGCTCTCTGTACCGTTATTTGCTATTTCTGCGAGCCCAGTAGTGTGAGTACTCACTGGTTTCTGCTCTACAGTACGCATTTGACTAACTATATGCGCTGGTACAGTTACATGCCTTAGTTCTACGTTATTGGTATGTACTAGTTCATCAGGGTGCCTCCAGCCTTGTGTAGACGAGGACTTATCACCTGGTATAGGTTCATCGGGTTGCCTCCAGCCCACGAGGGACGAGGACTTACTTCCTGGCATGTTAGTATCGATATCCGGACTTGGGTACCCTCCGGGAATCGTCTGTCGAGGCTCGGCGGCCACATTGTAATCAATATTCAATGGATAATCTTGTTGTCCATTGCCTGTAAACTCGATGCGCACCTGTTCGTTCCTTTTCGCCGTCACGGATGCCTGGTCCTCGACCCATCCGATCAATGCGAACCTCCAGCGTATCCAGCGCTGGTCCATATCGATATGTGATAATGCGTTCCAGAAGCGTTCCGCAGCGTTCCGAAGCATTGTGAACCTACTGGGGGCCAATCCAGTAAGTAGTCTCTGTTTCTACTCGAAAATCGTAACTTTACTCACTAAAAATTCCTGAGGGGTACTAGACGACGAGGGAGACCTAGGGTTGATCAGACCCTTCGGTTCCTCGGCGTCCAGCAAGAGGTTTCGGTGCTAGGTGGGTACAGTCAAAAATATGTAAGGAAACTCACTGTTCCTCACAAGAGAATTCTAATCGCCCTTAGTTCACTCAACTACTGACTGGGATAACCTAGTACTCGAGCGAGGGGTCAGGGGAAAAGAATCCCCTTTACCCAGCGGTCGATACTGTCTTTTATAGGGTAGTACACGTGTAGATACATGAGGAGGAAGTGTAACTAACTACAATGAGAATATATGCGCTTGTGGGTCCCACTGCGCAATGATCTGACGCGATCAGCAATGTAGTGATAATAAAATACGAACCAGTAAATCAAATCCTTACAAACACCTATTACTCCTAGAATAGATCTATCTAACAATACAAACAATACATACAATACAAACAAAAGTAATAATGAAACAATGCCATACATGAATATGGTAGGATTCTTAAGATATGTTGTAGATTGTACACAGCCAGATATATCTTATATTACTGGACAATTAGCATGCTACTTACAAAAGCCCTAAATGTATCACTACAAAGTAGTGAAACATTACTTTACATATTTAAAATATACAACAAATTGCTAGTTTCAACTTGGAAGCACAAACACTTTAAAACTATGAGACTATTGTGATACAGACAGATGAATGACAGAAGGACATAAAGTAATAAACAGCTACATCTTTCAATTAGCTAAATTGACTATATCCTGGTCAAGCAAACAGTAAAACCTGGTACTACTATCTGTTTACAAAGTAGAGTTGCAAGCACTAGTATATGCTACTCAAGAAGCTGTTTGGCTCAAATGATTTGCTAAAGAAGTACTACAGACTAAATTAGCACCCATTACAATTTATTGTGATAATCAAAGTGTAATAAAGACTGTAAAGTCTAACAAAATAACATACAATGCTTACACTAAACACCTTGATTTATGAAAAGACTTTGTACAATGTTATATTCAAAACAATTACATTAATATATACTATGTTCAATCACAGAACCAATTAGCAGACATCCTTACAAAAGCTCTCTATGTTCTACAGATCAAGCATCTAAACAAACTATTAGGTATACAGTCCTAGTTCTTAATTAATGTTTGAAGGGGAGTATTAGATTGTGTTCTGGATTAGGAAATCCTTAATTGCCTTATGTAGAGTTACTATACTTAGAATGTCTCAGACTATCAGACTTCACTATGTAGTATATAAGGTAGACACTTGCTTGATGTCTTAATAAGAGAGAGTATTTGGGGCACTCCTACTATACTTGTTAAAATAAAGATTTGTAACTAAGTTGGAGTTTTATTAAAGTGTTAGATATACTCACTTTACTAGTTCTAATCCTTAGGAATAGTAACAGAATAGAGTATAGAGGGTAAGACTTATAGACTTGTAGAGTGAGAGGGTAGAGGAGTCCTACTTTAGTCAAGCTACAAGTGTAGCCTAGTAGGTTGGTAGTAGAGTACTTTCAAGTACTAAGTAACTTAAGTTGATAAAACTATCTTTTGAGGGCTAAACTGGCCTCCTTATATACCTTTTGTTAAAGTAATTGTTAGGAATTGTAAAATACAGTAACTAAGTTTGGAAAAGCTTAACTCAAGACTTAGGACCAAGTAGTTTATATACAAAACCCTATTAGTCACAAGTCTAGAGATTGGCCAGATCAACTAGGCTACCTTTGTTGTCCTGCTTAGTAAGAACTCCAGCTTAGCATTATTAACCTCTAATCATTACTAATGGGTGATCAATCTATTAGTAGAGAGAGGGGACAGGAAGGAGTAAGTACTAAGTTAGTTAGGAAAAGGTAACAAAACCTGTAAACAAGGTCTTTATCTCTCTAAGGTTAAACACATACTCTAGCACAGTATTACTTGATAACCTCAACCAAAGACAAGTCATTTAGAATGCTTGTATGGAGAGGAGATCTGGAAAGAGTATAGTGTCCAGAGTAAGAAGTATAAAGGAAAAGACTAGGAGAAAACCTGAAGAGATAAAAGGAAAATATTATACTTACTTAGAGAGAAACTATATAGTTAGCTAGGAATGCTTTGTACAAAGACAAAGGACCATTAAAGCTAGTAAAGAGCCAGAGCCAATACTCTGAAACTCTATACTTGAGGAGGACTAGTACTAGTGAAGGAAAGGGAACTGAGAGCTCTGAGGAGAGACTATAGGAAAGTAGTCTCCTTTATACACTTTACCCATATAGATAGGAAAGTAATAAAGTCATAAACATGAGGACTACATGAGGACAACATGAGGAATACATGAGGCAATCTAGAACTTTGGTTGTAAGTTCTATGATTGAATACAGAAGTATAAAGATAAGGCTAGAAGTTAATAAGGATAATTGTCTCCTAAACTAAGTCTATTAAAGAAGACTTAGAGAAAGATCTAGAACATTAGTTGTCAGTTCTAGAGTGTACACAAGGCAGTCTAGAACTTTGGTTGTAAGTTCTAGGGGTAGTACAGAAGCACAGCCTTTTATATTACAAGAGTCATAAGGAGTCATTAGAAGTCATAATACTCTACCTTACAAGAAAGTATATTACAAACTAGTGTACAGAAAGTACAGGTCAAGTCAGACAGAGTTATAGGAACAATAGAGAGCTCTACTTTATAGGAAAAGCATTACACAGCTTACACAGTATAACTAGTTAGGAGGACTCATAAGGAGTCATTAGAAGTATGAGAGGAAGTATAGAAGACATAATAATACAGTAAAGGAGTCATTAGAAGATTAATCTAGGATACAAGAAGACACAAACTAGTGTTAGC